TATAGATAGATAAAATGAGTATGTATACATTACAATAGAATCTAGGAATGTTTAAAAAGAAGAGGTATATATTCTTGACTGTGAATGTAACTGAATATTAAATATATTTCTGAACTTCTTTGAATCTAGGAAAATTAGGGAAACCACATATAAATCCCTTAACATAATTATCACTAGGAGACACATATGGATCTCTGAAAAGAAAAAAAAATATGGCATTTAATTATAAAAAAACATTTCTTATGTAAGACTTTTAGTGGTTTTGAACATACAATAAATGATATTGTCAAGAAAATATTTGCAATGAAGAAGAACACCATTTTATGTTCCTTGAAAATATATGGAACTAGCCTGTCTTGTCTCTGTAATCTTGTTTAATTTGTTTGGACTAAGCTTGTTAAAATAAATTAAATCATTGACTTATGCATGCCTATTAAATACAATAAAATTCTTGAATCACAAAAGGATATGTAGAATAAAGATATCCAATTAAGTACACATAATTCTACTCTCTAAAATTCAATTCATTTTTAATTAAAAATAAATCCTTTGCCTTCTTTATATTTGGAATTTTTTGAACACTGGCCTTTACTTCTGGCATTCTAAATTTAGTTCTTGTAATGTTTTCCTAAGTCATCCTAAGATTGTATAATGAAGTTATCCCAACATTTCTGTACTAAAACACAGATTTAAGTATACAAATAAGTAGTATTGAAGTATTTGAATGTTTAAGTAAAATACATAGTATTCAAATCAAAGAGTCTTTTATTTTTCAGTAGTACAGAGTGATGACTACCAATTAAAAGACCATTTTTTTCTTGTAAAATTTCATCACTTTTAAAAAAAATGTGTGTTAAATTTTATCAAAATATGTTTCAGAAGTTTTATTTTAATTTTTATTTTTTTAGTTAGAGCTTTATGATTATATATAATATTTGGGTTCATCCCAAAAAACTCAGACATACATTAAAATCAATTTTAGTTTAGAAGTTATTTTTGCTAAGGTCTATGAAACTAGAATAAAATGAATTTTATAAATTTTTACAAATACTTTTCATATACTACTTATACTTACATTTTGATGCAAGAGTTTGGTCTGTATATTACCTATGACAAAAACTAACAAAATAGAGCTATATCTTCAAATAAATAATATCTGAAACTATGAATGAAAATATGAATACACAATTAACAAATGAAGAAAAAAGCTATGTTAAACATGGACATATGTATAACCTCAATCTTCACTGTACAAATGAAAGTAATAAGGTAATACCTCTCCAATATTAAAATAACAAAATTAAGAGAGTAATAAAATAATGGGCCACTGGACATTTAAAATAATAAATTCAGAACACTACAAATAATATTCAATAAATTAATTATAAATGGGTTGTAGATCTAAATATAAGTGTAATGTTATAAAATTCTAAAAAGAAAGGAATAATAAATCTTCATGATCTTGGACTGATTGGTTTCTTAGATGACACAAAATGCAGAGAAGGTAGTAGATTGCTAGTGAGTACAGTGTTGCTTTTTGAGATGATAAAAAATCTAAATATGAATATACTAAAAACACTAAATTGTACATTTTTAAAGTGTGAACATTATAGCATATACTTTTTATCTTAATAAAGTTGTTTTCTAAGTGAATATTGTTTCTGATGACTGCAGTTAAGGTAAACTCCTGTAGAAAATTGGGATCATAAATAGGTGTAGAAGCATGGAATGCTTGATCTGTTAGTATATCATTGGCAACATATTACGTATATTTAACATATATAACTTTGACAAAACAAGTCAACCCATAGGAATTTATTTTGTAGAAATATTTTTGAGAAAGCAAGAGTTCATAGAATTTATTTTGTAGAAATACTTTTGAGAAAGCAAGAGTACATAAGTAAAAGTTTGCACAGAACTGCTTGTAATAGTTAAAGAAAGAGTGTAAATGTCGTCAGGGAGAATTGATTACCTATGTTGTGTTATGCATAAAGGACATATCAGTTTCACAGAAGTACTAATTTTATAGGGTCTTATTTGGAGGATGCCCATGATGCATGTTAAAGAATTAAAGCAACTTATGTATTATCTCTATGAATTTATAGAGTATAAACATATATACACAAATATACTTGTTCACATTATCCAGAAGAATATGTCATAGGTTATTAATAGTGCTTACCCATGGGATAGAATGAGCTTTGAATTAGTGCAATATTTTACTTTTTAAACATTTTAAAAATGTTTAAAATTTTTTTCATATAGCTGCTTTTTTAATTTAAATAATGTAAATATGAGACACAGAAATGTTTTTGCCTTATTAGAAGAAAGATCTTTCATTGTTCTAGAACCAAACATTCAGATGTACCTACACATCTTTTTATATTTTTCAATTTTGTGTGATAATAGTGGAGAGCATGTAAGCAGGACAACAGTTGGTTCTGTGGCCATAGAAAATCTGAATTTTTATATGCTGTCTGTTGAAATTATTAGTACCACACTATTTCAGGATGGAAAATGACTTGGTTTCCATGATCCATTATTCACCATAACAACTGTACATCCTATCTGACTATCCTTAAGTGTAGATGCACAAGGAAGAAGGTTCTGAAGTTTTAAACCATCTCAAGTCACATATTCACATTGTTTTTTTAAACACTATCCTCCTCCTCTCACCAATGTTAAGGAAAACATTGGCCCTGGAGTAAACATTCCGATGCTATTCTCAAAAATGTGTTCAATGTTGTTTACAGTACTTTTAGATACAACAAGAAAAAATACCCAAGTAATCAATAGTGACAGAAGCATGTGTACATTGATAGCAAATCAGGAGATTTGTTAGCCCAAGAAGCTTTGGAACTGTGACTACTAATACCACTATTTGGGTAAGGAATTATTACCTTGGTCACTAAGTACCTAAATATTTGTTAGAAAACAAGCCTCTGAAAATCACTTGATAGCAATTAATTCATATAAATTTGTTAAAGACATTCTCTGCCATGTTTGATATCACTCAATAAGTACTAGCTTTTGTGGTCATATTTTTTCTTTGTCTCACTGTCCTCTTCATCATTATTATCAAGAAAATGTAAATGTGTGTGCATGAAACTATAGGTGTATTTAAATATAAAATACATGTATTTTCATTACATGAATTATTTGACATTCCCCAAGTTAGGATGATTTACATGGTTTAAAAGATCTGCTTAAAATATTGTTATGGAAACCTATGTAAATCTGCAAGCTTTATTACCATATAAACTTCAGGTTGTTGGAAAACATAACATTTTGGATTTTCAAAATTTTAAAGAAAATGTAAAAGAATACCAAGACACAAAACTGGATAAGTCATTTCTCTGTTTACAGTTACAGCCCCAGATTTATTAGTAATGCCCCCACAAAATTCGTATGTGGAAGTCCTGTTTCCCCTTATATGAAAGCTTTTTGGGATGAGATTTTGGGGAGTAGTTAGAGTTACATGAGGTCTTGAGAGTGTGTCCCTCAGGATGGAATTAATGCCCTTAAGAGAAGAGATTCAGAAAGCTTGATTTCCCTCTCCCTCTCAGCCATGTGCAGACAAAGCAAAAATAATGCATTCTGCAAATAAAAAAGATGCTCTCACCTATTAGGAGGGCACCTTGACCTTGAATTTACCAGCCTCCAGAGACATGAGAATATAATTTTCGTTTGTTTGTTTAAGCCACGCAGCCTGTGGTACTTTATTATGGCCATCTGAGTGGACTAACACAGCATGCCGATTTCCCTGTGTGAGAATTCTGAAACAGTTTTTCCCTTGTTAAAAAAAAAATAATAACTTTGGAAGTTTGGAAGATGAGAAAGGATGGATTTAAAATACATAACTTCCTAGCAATGTATTATGTTTGATGAAAGTTGCACAATGGTACTCATGGAAAATAGATGCAGTTATGAAAGGATGTTAAATAAGTCACAAAATAACACACACACACACACACACAAACAACAAAGAAAACAGTTAAACAAAGCAGACAAAGTTCCACTTAATAATCACTTTTCTGTATCAAAAATGGCCACTCACACTTTAAGTAGCATATTAACTGCAACCACCTACAGCTTTGGTAGCCCAAAGTTTTAGCTGTTTGATCACTGTTGGCTGCTTGAAGAAGTAACATTTAAGCAAGGTATGGCTTAGTCATAATTTAGCAGGGTGTCTCTGACAGTGAACCTGATGCCTGGTTGTTTTTTTTTTTTTTTTTCTAATGATACACTTAATTTATATCTACCAAGAAACCATCCTTGGATGTGAACTCAAGAAGTAGCTATTTTCTCATCTTTCAACATCTTTATTATTTGTTTTCAGTCTAACTTTATATCTCACAAACGTACCTGTACCTTTTATTTGTTTGTTTGCCTCACAGCTTGAGGTTTCTATAGGTCTATCTATTTGTTAATAAACAATAGATTTCTCATGACAGTGAACTCTTTCTTTGGATTAAGATAAGATTAAGAGCAAAATAAATCATTATTCAAATTTGGGCCATATCCTGTGAGCTGCGCAATCAAGTGACAAACATAATAATAATGAACTATGTTTTAAGGCAGGCATAGAACAAAGATAAATATAGATTAAAGTTCTAAAATTATCATTAACCAGCTTCACCATAACTAACTTTGTACTTCTCTCTATATAAAAAACACCTTAAGTCATCATAAAAAAATTTTGTTATCTTTAATCAAACACAATTTTGAGTAAGAGTTTTTTTTTTCTTTTAGGAAATTAATGGTGCATCCAAGAGGTACATTTATTTTGAATTTAGTGACATAATCATACCAAAGGCATATACTGTATAATATGTCTTTCCCAACAATGTAAAATAAAAAGAGTATCTTAAAAAGCTGGTTAAAACATAAATAGAAACTAAAAATGATATGGAGGTAAAGAGTGATTACAGAGAAAAATCAAATTTGAAACACAAAGATCCACTCTATTGCTGTCTCCACCCCTGCTCAATGCACGATCCATGTTCTCTGTGAAGGAAGGGAGAGGCTTCAAGCTAAATTTCAGAACTGCAGTGGAGCTGTGCACCTTGCAGAGAGCAGAACATGACTGTGAGTCACCACTGCATTTCAAAGGCAGGTGGTTATGCCCACAAGTTTCTCAAACTTAAGAGAGTAGAGAGGAGAAAGTATATTTGCAGGAATTTAAACTTGGCTTTCATGTGCCATCAACCACAAATAGTTATATTATAACTGAATGTTAAGTGAACTGGGAGAATATTCCTGAGTGTGAAAAAACATTCTAGTTGGAGCTATTATGAGGAACATGTGGAAGAGATGCAGGAGGACTAAACATTCAGTTCTCCAAGTTAGTGAAACTAAATAGTGTGGTAAGCCCATGGATAAAGCCCTTATTTCATGTTCAAAAAAAAAAAATCTTTGGAAGTATGATAATTTGTTTAATAATGACTACTAATCACTTTCCTTAATAAAAACAAATAGTTCTTCATTCTTTCTGCGTCATTTTTAATGATTTAACGTCACAAATTTGTGGTGTGGATCAATGCAAAACGAAACAAAATAAACACAAAAACCTTCCTTTATTGATCAGTGAGTGAGACTTCTGGAGGTAAATGTTTAACTAGGACTTCTGAAGTAATTTGTTTTCTTTTCTTTCAAATAAAGAGCAGTGATAACAACACAAATAAACATGCACACACACACACACACACACAAAATCAAGCAAACAAAACCCAAAGGGGGGAAAACAGAAAAATGGTAAATGGAATTTTGAAAGTGAAGTGAGAGAATTAAAAAAACACTAGATTTACTATAAGCCATGTCTCGGTGTACGCTTCCAAAGCTATATGGTGTTCCAAATAAAACTGAGTGCTTCTCAACAATTATGACCACACACATAGCAAAAGTGAAAGGTTGTAATAATGAACTGAAAATTTTCTGCAGGTATTGATGAATTAGATACTTTAGAGTTTGACAACTTATATACCTCCAGCTATCTACAACTTTAACTAAAATCACCCAAAGGTCATGTTGCTGTTGATAGTAATTTGGAGTATATCTGTTGGAAGATTCAGTAAAATAAAAAGAAATAAAAAGAATTCTGTATAGAATGAAGGAATAAAAAGGATAAAAAGTGGTCACCATTCTCTAGGCCATAATAAAACCTAACTATACATACACAGAGGAGAAATCTCACCCCCTTCTCGATGAATTGTAAAAGTGTACCCTGAATGCCTATTCATAAAAAATGTTCTCATAATTATATGACACATTTAAACAGAACCAGGTTTGAGAACATTTGTGAATCTACTTCACTGTTGTAGAGAGTAATGTGTCAATCTCATTACAATGATTCAGATGAGCTAGCTATTCTGATACTAATTGCTATAAATGACAGTGTGCTAGAAATGTTTTTAAATAGAACCTGCCTACATTTTTGTATTAAAAAAATAAAGCAAAGGCATAATTTGGAGAATAATTTTGAAATTTCATTTTATTTTAATTTTAAATTTGTACCCTGGCTTAGGTAAGAAATAAATTTCACACATTTTTTTTTCAGTTTTGACTAACACATTATAAGAAAAAGACTGATGCCAATAGCTGGATAGTTTTTTAGTGTTTTTTTTAATTTATTTTTTTTTATACAGGGATAAAACTCAGGGATGCTTTACCACTGAGCCATGTCCCCAGACCTTTTGATTTATTATTATTATTTTTTTTAAATTTTGAAACAAGTTCTCACTAAGTTATTTAGAGCTGCCCTAAGTTGCTAAAACTTGATTTGAACTCAAAACCCTCCTGCCTCAGCTTGCTGAGCCACGGGGATTAGAGGAATGAGCCACTGTGCCAGGATTATTAGGACTTTTTCATACAGTATTATGTTTTACAGTTGAAAAACTATTTGGATATCTTATAGGGCAGCTTCCTACCTGGGTTCAAGGCACCTGAATGTATGATAGAGACAAATGGCCTGGTCACTTCTACAGCCTGAGAATATATCTTACTTTTGAAAATCATAAAATATTATCAAATTGAAGTTTTTATGATGGGCTAATATAGGTACCCCTGTAATGGTTTTTCTCATTGTTTTTACCTCTAGTTTTTGGAACAAGACTTTTGGATCTATTTTCTATGTGACATTAAAGATACAGGTATAACACAGTGGTGCATATTTATAATCGCAGCAACTTTGGAGGCTGAGGCAAGAGGATTACAATGTCAAGGTCAGACTCAGCGATTTAGCAATAATCTCAGCAACTTAGAATATGCCTTAAAATTAAAATAAATAAATAAATAGGAAGGGGAATGTAGCTCAATGATAAAGCATTTCTGGATTCGATTCTCAACACACACACACACACACAAATAAATAAATAAATAAATAAGAAAAAATAAAAAGATGCAGCTATGCAGCTATAGACAAAAATAATTTATAGATGGTATCATGTTCTTGTACATTGAAGCACAAGAAAAAATCTTGTCATCTCTAGTAATTTAAACATAAATATAAACTAGTTTTATGCATATTTAAATAAAATTGTAAACAAATTGAGAGTGGTTTTGACTTTATCTCGAGATTTTTGGCTCCAATTTTTCATGAGACTATTTCAAGATTTCAAAATATCTTTGTTGTTACTTAGGGTTAGAAAAAGATGTCATATGGGACACACTAATTTGTGATTTTTCTTTGTCTAATAGAATTTAAAAAACCAATTGGTACTAAATTTAGAACAGTAATTTTTTTTTATTTTCAATAAATGTGTCTTAAATGAGAAAATATATGAGTGAATGATATTCCTACAGTAGAATGAAGTGTATATGTGTATGTGTGTGGGGGGGTGATATCTGTTTTAATTTTTTTTATTTTCTATGTATAAAAGGTAGAACTAGGTGTGTGTGTGTGTATATATATATACACATATATAATGAAAATATATATTTATATATATATATACATATATGTAATGAAAGTTTACTGAATTTGAGTAAATTAACAACACATGTATCACATCATACAGGTACCTATAAGTGTGAGTATACAGTAAATGCACCTAAAATCAATTATCTTGGCAAATTTCCAATATGGAACACAATTTTTAAACTACATCATTTAGGTTGTACATCAGATCCCAAACTTCTTCTTTCTACATAACTGCAACTTTAAATCACTTTACCTACATCCCCCATCCACAGTTACCACCATTCTATCTACCCCATTTTTATGTACTTGATATTTTGTACTGCATGTTAGTGAGATCATGCAGTCTTTTTTGCACCCTGTGCTTGTCTTATCTCACTTTGCAAAACGTCCTCTAGGTTTACCCATATTGTTGCCAATAGCAGTGTCTTTTCTGCAGCTGAACACACAAACACACATAGACACACAAATATTTATATTCAACATTTATTTGTACATCCATTGACATACACTTAGTTTGCTTTCATATCTTGGTTGTTTTGAAAGGTGTCATAATAAGTACCAAAGCTTAGCTTACCTGTTTCTGGTGCTGGGTCATATGAAAAACCAATAGAAAATCGCAGAAAGATTAGCAGTGTAGAGGGAAGGGATAAAGGATTGGGAAGAAGAAAGGGAAAGAGGAAGTACTGGGGACTGAATTAGAACAAATTATGTTCCATGCTTTTCTAATTATGTCAAAAAATTCTATTATTATGTATAACTAAAAACAACCAATAAAAAATGTCTGTAATTTTTTTGAGAAATCTATATACTGCTTTCCATAATTGCTCTACCAATTTGTATCCTCACCAACAGTGCATAGGTTTACTTTTTTTCCACAGCATTAACAACATTTGTTATCTCAATTTGTTTTTTGTTTTTTGTTTTTTTAAATAGAGATTTAATAGTTTGAGATGAAATTGTATAGGGGCTTTGATTTGCATTTTCTTGATGATTAATGATGTTAAACACACTTTCATAAACCAGGTGACCATTTCAGGTCTTCCTTAGAAAAATGTTCATTTGTATTATTTTTCGTGTGTGTGTGTGTGTGTGTGTGTGTGTTGTGAGTGTGTGTGAAAGAGAGAGAGAGAGAGAGAGAGAGAGAGAGAGAAAGTTAACTTTATATGAGAGAACTTTATATATTTTTAATATTAACCTTACATGTTGTGAATATTATCTAATATATGGTTTGCAAATAACTTCTCCCAGTCTGTGGGCTCTTTCATTTTGTTGGCTGTTTGCTATCCAGAAGCCTTTTGGTTTGATCTACTGCAACCTATTCATTTTTTTTGTTGTTGTTGTTGCCTGAGTTTTTCATGTGATATCTGAAAAGTCACTGCCAAGGTCAATGTGAAAGAATTTGCCCCGTTTTCTTCTAGGAACTTGGTAGTTTCAGAAATTATGTTCCATATGTTTTGAGTTTACTTTTGCGTAGAGTAAGATAAGGATTCAATTATACTCTGTGCATATGGAGTTTACAACACCATTTATTAAAGGGATTATGTTTACTCTATTATGTCTTCTTGGTGTCCTTGTTGAATATTAGTTACCTCTCTATTTGCTGGACTTACTATGTCTCTCTCCTTTTGTCCGTTGATCTAGTGTTTGCTTATTTATTTTTTGGCAGTATCTAAACCAGATAAGGACAAAGTGAGAAAAAGAAGCTACAGGCCAAGATCTCTTATAAATATAGGTACAAACACTTCAATAAAATGCTAGTGAAACTGAGCAACACTTCAAAAAGACTATAATAGAACCAAGTGGGGTTTATCTCTGGAATGTTATGTTAACTTTGCTTTAACATAAATAGTCTAAAATGACAGTCCAAACTTTGCTTTAACATAAATAGTCCAAAATGACAGAATAAAAGATTAAAAATACTGTAATTTTAATAGATGCAGAAAATGTATTTGACAAAATTAAATGTCATTTTATGAAAAACTCTCAAGAGACTAGGTATATAAGAAAATTTTCTCAACATAATTAAGGACAATTATGTAATACCCAAAGTTAAATAAATAATTAATGGGGGAAAAACAGGAAACTTTTCTTCTTATATCTGGTAAGAAAACAAGAATGCAACATTAGCCACCATAGTATTGAAATTACTACCAAGAGCAATCAGAATAGG